ATCTTATCTAATTGCTTGAGCTCTTGACGTCCTCTCTTTATAACACAGCCGAATCTACACAAGTATGCATCGTATATGTTGTCACTAGACAAGAAAAGTGACTGCCTTGGGAATATCAGGACATAATAATTTAATTTTTTTTTGTGGTAGAGAATTTAATAATAGCTAGGAAAAGATAAAATTTATAAGGCATTTTTTTATTAAAAAAAAAGCTAAAAATGATTAAAAAAAACAACCGGTTTCGTCCCAGGACTTATCAAGTTTATTTTTCTGGAAATAGAAAATTTATGAAAGCGTGTAAATTAAATTAACGAATAGAATGGAATGGAAGAGAAAGAAAAAATTGAATTTGAAGAAACTAGAGTTCAATAACATTCAGACTCAGTAAACATTCCCTCTGTTTACAATGGATAGGCTCACGTGATCTGATATACAAGGACTCTAGAACCCTGAGGTGAAATGTGGAGTGGAACCTAGATAAAATCTAGAAAACGGTCCACACTAAAATTAACCACACATTTCCTACTATTTATTACATGCTCAGCAATATCAAAGCTCGACGTATTGGTTAGTTGGCTATTCCTGGCAGCCAGATTCAAAATGCTGGGGGTTAAATGTTGTTTTATTCTCGAATCCAAATGTTTTTTTCTTTATCTATCATTCCATTCATATTCCACTGTTCTTCTCAGACAACTTCATCTTCAGAAATAGGACTTTGAAGAACAAACTCTTAACATCTTCAAGTCCCTGTTAACTATCCTACATATACTTATAACATGCACTAATTGTTCCCTTCTTCTAAGTCCTGACAACAGTCTCATTTAGTAACCCTCTACCTTGAGTGGCTCTTGGGCTTTGAATTAGGTGAACAATAATAAAAATTAAAAAAAAGACAGGTTAGTGGATATATGTGCACCATTTTACTCGATGTTATCTCTAGATGATCTTAGGATGGAACATATTCGCACTCTACTTAGAAGGTATCGCCTGAATAAAAAATAAAAACATATGTTTACAACTAAAGAATGAGCGTTTAATATCAATATTTTAGGTCGTCTGTATGCATTACTTTCTTTGATCGCTGTGATGATAGATTTTTATTTATTAAAAGTCAGCATTCGAAATCTACAGGGTAGGTTGAAAGAAACTCCCTATTGGAAATGACTGATAAAGTTTGTTAATATCGCCACATTTGCATGCAACAGACTATATTGTGATCTGTAAAATGGTACAATTTCATTGCTAATTTCTGGTTTTATTTGATAGTGACAAGTGTATCCCAGACTGCCTCAACACCTGACGATCGTGTTCAGCTCGCATTCCGTTTACGAAGAGTCCGCGGTATAAGTGCAGAGATGTTAGGGCAGTGTTCATGGACCTTGTGTTTCAGTAGACGGCAATATATTTTCATTCTAAGCTGAGGAGTTCGGTATTTCTGGCAGATACACACAGAAACGATCGTCCTTCAACATTTATATTGGAAGAAAATATGCAAAAGTCGGAATTTTAAAATTGTACTCTACTTCTACGATTATATTGTTTAAAATAAAATATACATTATTTACATTATTCGGATTATTGTCTTCATCTTTGTCACCATATTTATTACAACGTTTCGGCTGTAGTACGCTCCGGCCTTTTTCAGGTGGTTGGAATGTCGAACTGAACCCTTTATTTCCCTCACTGGGGTAGACATTTCTAGTTCCATGTGCCATGTTTAATGGATGTCAGTTATCAGTGATCTGTTAATTTCCTTCTGAAAGTTCTCCACTGCCTCACACTCATTGGGTCCTTCCACTGGATCTAACTAACGCCTTTATCCACTGTGCCATGTCTCATTGAGGAGACATGGTACAGTTCGACATTCTAACCACATGAAGAAGGCCGGAGCGTACAACGGCCGAAACATTGTAATAAATATGGCGTCAAAGATGAGGACAATAGTCCGAAAAATGTAAATAATGTACATGATACCTCATCTCAGAAATATAGACAGGTACCAAAATAAAATATGTTTCATAATAAAAAAGATCAGTAATTAATAAACTTACTAAGAATTTTAAATAGGGAATTTTTTTCCCGCCACCCTGTATTTTACCTGTGTTATGGTTGCCGTAATAAAAACCTAAATCAGTGTCGCAATATCAGTGTCATCCGATATCTTGTTAACTGGAAATCATCTCATTTGTCACAAAAATAGTTTGAATCATATATTTGTCCTGGTGACTATCAGCTAACTGAAGTGATCCTGATAAAGACTATGGCAAATGATCCGGACAAATAAGATCACTGAATGAAGATTTACTTTTTTAGACAAAGAAGATAAGGCAAAGAACAATATAAGAAAGTGGTCACTACCAGCGAAAAACACAGAGGGGCGGAGAGTGACGCGAAGCGATGTGAAAGGGAAGACGAAAGTGAGACCCTTCCCCTCTACCTTACTTCGCGTCATCTATGCCTCGCTCGCCTACAGCAGTATGTTACAATCAAAATAAAATTTGCTTCCTACTACAAATAGTTTCATGACTATCAGTGACGATCTGACCAGAGAGTTATTTTTAAGCCACAAGCGTTTGAAAGAAGAAGCTTTACTCCGAGAACGAACCTGATTTTTGGTCTCAGCTATTATGCTACACGCTATAGCTGCCCAGTTAGACTATCCACACAAATTTTCTTATAATGTAAAGGCTCGTGTCGAATAAAAAAACAATAATGGATAATAGTATACCTATGACCTACAGCGATTTGGATATAGCGATTTTTTAGCCAGAACATAACTGAAAGCTGTCGTCACTGTGGCCAATTTTAACAGGGTCACGGGAATTACGTATTCGTGTTAAGTATTTGAGGGAGATGAGGACATTTGCATTTAGGGTTTTTGCTTCTGAAGATCTTGGGTAAGAAGATGAGGTCTTTTGGCGATAAACACTTCGGAAAGGAAGATAACGTATTTTTTTGTTTGATTAATTAACGTTTCGGGGATTTATAAGGATGGAAGATTTGACGATTTTTTTTCTTTCGTTTCTTGGGGGTTTTACCCCCATTTTTTGATGCTTTTAAATCTGTTCCGTTCTCTTTTCACTACTTTCTCCAACTCACACTGACGATTATTAAAATTAAACAAAAATATCACAAAAATTATGAAAAGAAACGAATAAATAATGAGAATTAGCGGATGAAAGATGAAAAAAAATGGGACAATTGGCATTCGGCTTCATAAATTTTTACGAAAGAACTGGTTTTTGTTTGTTGCCAAATTCTCATCATGTTTGTTGATAAGAAACCGAGAGAGAGAGAGAGAGAGAGAGAGAGAGAGAGAGAGAGGGAGAGAGAGAGGCCAAAAAGTGTATTAGAGGAGAGATTTGGAGAAAGAAGAGTGTTGTCGAGACCAAAAAGAAATAATAAAAGGTTGGACGATGGTCGGGAAGAGAAGAAGGAGAAAAAAATTCAGAGTAGGAGGGTAATGTAGAAAGAAAGGATATTTATAGGGAGTAGGAGAAATAAGAAAGAGTAGGAGTGAAACGAAGAACGTCAGAAGCCAGTGAAAGAAGAAAGAGGAACAAAAACAGAAATATGAAGTTCGTATGCGCGATGATGTGTGTAAAACTAATACATATATATATATATGTGTGTCTGTTCGTGCGTGTGTGTGCGTGATAATTGATATAAACATTTTGATATATCAGAACAATTATATATAACCAAACACATATTAAAAAATTATAAGATTTCAGTCTCTCCTGTCTTTTGTATTCATGTGTATTTACATCTAAAAAATCACTTGGGTTCGATGAAGTCCTCTTGGCCTCCTGCGTTTCATTTTTTTACGCACACACACACACACACACACACACACACACACACACACACATATATATATATATATATATATATATATTGATAAATCCATAATTTTTTTTAGAAATAGCTTTTGTACGCGCGTATTTGTGACACACTTTGTGTGTTCTTGAGAGTCAAATTTGCTGAGAAAATAGAACATCATTGCTAGTGATAGTCGATCCCATAATTTATGCGAAGTTAAATTCAAGCTGAAATGATATATAAAACCCGACCAAGTTTTGTCTGACATTATATTTATGCCCTATCTGTATCCCTTTCTATTTACACGCTCTCTCTCTCTCTCTCTCTCTCTCTCGCTTTCCTTCTTTCCTTTTTTCCTTCTTTGCATTTGTGCATATGTTTCTTTTCGTCGCTATTTTCTATCACTCATTTGGCTTTGATCGTAGTTCGCAGAGAGAAGGAAAGAAGAGGACAACTTTGTAGTTTGTCAGCGCGGTAGCCTTTTGTCTGTGGCTCATGACTTTTGTGCGTCTCATGTGAGAATTTTGCACATTTCCCCGACAAAGTCCGATAATTATTTTAAGACATTTTTATGTTTATTATTAATACTGTTTATTATAAAATAGTACATTTACTCAAATAATTGTATCTATAATTGTCGGACTAGGTTCATTTCATAATGTGTGAAGTCATTTGTTTACATTTGGATACGCTTTGAGCAGATATGAATGTACGTGAGAGATTCATGGAAGGTTCAAGTTTAAGCAGTAAAATCGATCTTGCCAACCGAACGATACTCCGTGGCTCGATCGGTTAAGGCACGTCAGGCTAATGATGGATTCCATATAAGATACAGGTTCGATTCCTGTCGGGGAACGATTATTTTATATGAAAATTTTTCGGAGATTCAGGCCGGTAAATGTTATTAATATTGTTTATTATAAAACAGAGCATTTACTTAAATATTTCTATCTATAAAAAAGAGTGTATAAAAATGTTTTAAAATAATTGTCGGACTTTGTCCATTTCATTTTTATATATATATATATATATATATATATATATATATATATATATATATCAATTGACGTGATAATTTTGAAGATTTTAGAACCGGAAGAGATTTCAACAGGCAAGAAGTGTGAGAAAAGAAACTGTTAAAATAAAACTTACGGTTATATCTAGTAGGACGCTTAAATTCAAATTGAGAGAAAATTGTTAGGGATGAAAATGAAAAAGGAATGTGGGAAGCAAACGCGGGAATTTAAAGGAAACAAATGAAAGGAGAGGATTTTAGAAATAAAAATGTAATGAGAAAGGGTAAGAAGAAAGTGAGTGAAAGACATGAAGCAGAGGAAACCAGAGAAGAAATTAACTACATAAATTAAAAGATAAAAAAGAAAAAAAAAAACGGGAAAAAGACGGAATGTGTAAGAAGATAACGGGGAGAGGTGAAGTTAGAAATGAGAATGTTGATAAAGAGAGAAAAGAGAGAGAGAAAGAGAGAGAGAGAGAGAGAGGATAAGGAAGAGGAAACGAATGAAAGAAGGGAAAGCAGGAAAGCAGGAAGAGGGAGGGAATAAGAATGTAGATAAAGAGAGATAAGAGAGAGAGAGGGGGGTAAGGAAGAGGAAATGAATGAAAGAAAGGGAAAGCAGAAAAGCAGGAAGAGGGAGGGAAATATGAATGTTGATAAAGAGAGAAGAGAGAGAGAGGGGGTAAGGAAGAGGAAAGGAATGAAAGAAGGGAAGCAGAAAAGCAAGAAGAGGGAGGAAAATAAGAATGTTTATAAAGAGAAAAAAGAGAGAGAGAGGGAGGGGATAAGGGAGAGGAAAGGAATGAAGGAAGAGGGAGGGAAACAACAATGTAGATAGAGAGAGAGAGAGGGGGGATAAGAAATAGGGAATGAATGGAAGAAAGGAAAGCAGAAAAGCAGGAAGAGAGAGGGAAATAAGAATGTTGATAAAGAGAGAGAGAGAGAGAGAGAGAGAGAGAGAGAGGGGAAAGAAGGAAAAAGGGAAAAAAGCAGGAAGAGAGAGGGAAATAAGAATGTTGATAAAGAGAGAGAGAGAGAGAGAGAGAGAGAGAGAGGGGAATGAAAGAAGGGAAAGCAGAAAAGCAGGAAGAGGGAGGGAAATATGAATGTTGAAGGTAGAAAATAAAGCACTGGCCTGTGTCAAACTATGGGAAAGAAATTCACTCGGTCTGCGTGATATTTTTCTATGTGTTGCGCACCTTCAGAATATAAGCGATCATGTCTCTCCACAATTTCCTGTTCTTTGTAGCTCAATAAATATTCTTTTTGCTATCTCTCCTAAACGCATTTCTGCTACCCATTTACACAAGTTCTGCACTATTCTCCTTTGTCACTCTTGCCTTGCGTAACACTAACAAGACATCATGTCTTGTTAGTGTTAAATTTTCAAAGCCCTCTTTCCTCATTATGTGCCCTAGAAATTTAAATAGTCTCTTCCTGATGTTAATTATTAGTAACCTTTTTTTTTCTATTTTCTCTAAAATTTATCGTTGTCCACATGTTAAGGGCATGGTATTCTCAGCATCCTTCTGCAGAACTACATTTCTGTTAACCCAAGTCTTTAACTTCATCTGCGAGGAGATTTTTCCAGTATTTTCTGCCACATAGGAGGACTGATATTACATAACAGTTCAGTATTCTTTTCTTCGTTCGTAACGAAATCTTCCTGTTTCTTAATACTTGGCATAGCTTTTGAAAGGGCATCTGCGAAGTAAGACCCGTTAAAAATCAGCTTAGAGCAAACATTGTTCTTTCCAGAGAATGTTATTCCGACGATAGCTTATGTAAAATGAAGCAGTGTTTAAACATTTTTAATGCGAATTCAGTCTCGAGTTTTAAAATAATGCGATTGTTGGGAATTGTCGCACCGGACCGAAATGTATCATGCATTACCAGTGAATATTTATTGTTATCAGTTGGTAATAAAATTTAACCCTTTGAGCTTTGACCACCGCTTTACCGCTGGTAAGGAAAAATGATTTAATGCCCAGCCACTGGTTGGGTAAACACTTGTAACTATTTTTATATCTACCGTAAAATATATCCCAATTATTTGCGAAATTTGACTCAGGAGATCAGGCAGAAGGGTTAAAATTGTTCAGGAACGCACGGCTCAAACGGTTAAGGGAGAGAAAGTCTATAAAAAGATTTCAATCCTGTATGTCGTCCATCTTGTTTTTCATTGTTCAGTCATTTAATCCCTATATTTTTGTGAAACGTTTCGTCTGTTTCTTAAACTTGATTGAAAAAAAAAATGTGAATAATAATATCGTACTTCGTATACGAAATGCATTCAAGAAATAATGAGACGTATTTTTGAAGAGGCAATTCTAACTTTCCTAAATTATTGCAGTTTTAGTATATAATTAACTAGCAGCATGGCCCAGCGTTGCCCGTGCTTGATTCAAACATCGTACGACTCATGCAGCAATCGCTATCACTTGAAAATGTTTTTGCCCTTCATTGCCTTTAAAGGAGTACCCTTTACCAAGCTGATGTTGCTACATGCCTTACTTCTGGCCTGCGAATTTTTTCTAAGGTCTATACTAAACATTAAATCTGTTACGAAAAAAAACTAAACAAAATGAACACAAAATGATCAGCTTTAAAAAAAAAAGACTCGTAACTGGAAAAACCGAATGAAAAAAGAATGTTAACAACAA